ACTGTAGCTTCCCGAATCTGGTTGAATTATGTTCTGAAGTGCTCCTGTTGTGGAGATATGAGGTAAAGGAATTCCAAAAGCGTCGTGTTTTTTTTGGTTTTTTGCATTTTTCTTCATGAAAACAAAACCAAATAACATGATTCCAACACATTTAGAAAGCTAGATGAAAGGGCAACAAATATCATATCGTGGGAAAATTGACCAAAAAAGGAAGGTGCATTCCCTAAAAGAGCAATCAACACTGACAGACTACAAGAGTCAGATATAGACTACCAAGTTTACTGATAGACTACAAAAAAGTTGGACATAGGCTACAAAGTTTACTGATAGACTACAAAAGACTACAAAAGTCAGACTTAGACTACAAAATTAGGGTTACATTAAAAGGTTTTGTAGTGTCCGCTTTTTTAGACTACAAAAGTTTGTAGTGTGTGCCTTTTCATTAGAAAAGTTTGTAGTGTCCGCTTTTCAGACTACAAAAGTTTGTAGTGTCCGCTTTTTCATTAGAAAAGTTTGTAGTGTCTGCTTTTTGAGGCTACAAAAGTTTGTAGTTGACATATAGTTTATAGTGTCCTTGACTCTGTATAGGTTATGGGGATGAGGTTAAAGGATTGACATGATTTTACATATTGCCATTGCTGCAGCATTTACTTTTGACATCATGTACAAATTGTCTTTCACATCAAGAAAGGCTATTCTATGCCTTCATATTGATAGCTACTGTCCTATCTCAAACCATACTTGTAGGTTTATGGGGAACTGGCTAAAGGATTCACATGACTTTACATATTGATTGCTATTGCCACATCATCAGCTTTTCACATCATGCCCAAGTTGGCTTTCAAGCCAGAAAATGCCATTCATAGTAATATCTACTCAATACATTGTTAACTTACATCATGACCTGACTTAAGGATACTTCCAGGGACCAATCAGCTCATCCTATTGCCCTGAAAGAGCTGATATCACAGTTGACTAGGTTTGGGACAGGCAAGTAGCTATCAATGTGAAAGCAGACAGACCAGCAACTATCAATGTGAAATCAGAGAATAGCCTGTCCTGATGTGAAAGGCAACTTGGGTATGATGTCAAAAACTAATCATTTGGCAGTAGTAATATGTAAAGCAATTTAATCCTTCAAACCATATCCACATGGACCTAGAACCATGATTTGAGATA